TCCGGCCGCGCCGCCGCCCGGTGCATCTGCGCCCAGTCCGCCGGTAAGCCCCGAGGCGCGCCCGCACCCAGGCCGGACACGGCCACCACGCGTCTAGGTACTTTATATTAACCATGCTTAACTGTACGCATTACGCGATTATCCGTGGAATGTCACGTTTACTGTGCCATCTGTTGACAAAAGAGGGAAGTAGCGGCAGGACTCAAAGGTGCTTCTGTAATGTCATCTACCGACAGGAATCCAAACTAGCCTGGTTGCCATGAATGCTGGACGTTTTGAACACTGGACTTGACGACTCTGGACTTTGTGTCCCAGGACCATAGGAACACCAACAATGGGCACGGAATTGAATTTTTTCTAGACGTTATGAACACTGGATGCTGCGATCCTGGACGATATGAACACTGAACGGTGAGATCCTGGCGCTTTTGATGGGTGCCCGTGTTGAAAGCAAATAAGGTAAGCAACTACTTGCTCCACGGGAGAAATTTGCTAGCTTTTAAAGGGCAGATTTCTTTCTGCTCCCACCACACAAAAAGCAGTATCTTTCGCATGGTTTGCTGGCAGACAACGTCATTCAATCCACCCCCAAAATATGCGAGATACAAGGCGCGTAACATCGCCAGGTCGACGCTACGTAGCGTTTCGATTGCCTCCAAATTTGGTATGCAGGGCATTATCAACACCCTGGCTCCGAAGATCACTGTCGTTGAGGTGGGATTTTGCGTAACCTCTGAGTTATACGACACGTAATATCCCAACTGGATATTGCAGGGCGTTTCAATTGCCTCCAGATTTGGTGTGTAGGACTTTCTGAACACCCTGCTTCCGAAAATCATTGCATTTGAGGAGGGAATTTGCGTAACTTCCGAGTTATACGACGCGTAACGCTCCAGTTGCATATTGCGGGGCGTCTCGATTGCCTCCAAATTTGCTGTGTAGAGCCTTCTCAACACGCTGCTTCCGAAAATCGCTGTGGGGTGGCATTTTACGTAGCTTCCAAGTTACAAGGCGCGTAAAATCGCTAGATCAGCGTTGCGAGGCGCTCCGATTGCCTCCAAATTTGATGTGCAGGGCATTCGCGCCTGGTATAGCGCGTTCAACCAGGCAATAGTGAAGGTTTAGCAGCGATCGGTTCAGTATGTCATGATAAATGAGTTGGCTGGAAGCAGGAAGTTTGGAAGTTGGGAACTTGATGGGTTTTGACTTGGCCTAGGGTCACCAACTTCTTAACTGAGAAAAATCAGGTATGGCATATCTAATGAGGAAGGTTTAGCAGCGATCGGTTCACCTGATTCCGAGAGGTGAGTTGCCTGCAAGCAATGAATTTGAAGCTGTGAAATCTGACGACTTTTGGCCTGCTCTTTTTTATGGTCACATTTTTATAGTTACCCAACATCAATTGAAAGTTCGAGTGACATACGGCGTATCCAGTGGGGAAAGTTATACAGCAATTTGTGAAGTAGGTTTGAGTTTTGAGTTGACTAGTTTGTATGCTCAGTTTTCCCTTCACGTTTTTGAGGTGCTTTACTTCAGGTCAAATCTTGACAAAGCCAACCCATGACTCGCCTCACTGCATTAAATCGATTGGTGAAGGTTTCAAGGCGATCAGGCGGGTCGTTTTGTAGAAAGAGCGTGTCTGCTTCATGTGTCTGATTTTACACCCTGTGTTTGAAAATTGCGCATCCGGTTATACTTTGTCGGTCGTTGCGAACGATGTTGTAAGTGGAGGGTGAGGATGGTTTTAGTTCCGTCAGGTACGTGCTTGGTACAGACCAATTAACTGATGACAAAGCATGTGAGTTTGACGCTGCTTTAAGTGGTATTCCAGTGAAAGGCCGTATTTAACCTTTCGCTCCGATGCGGGGGAAGTTGCTGAAGTGTGACCTTCAAGGTGGAGGAGTAACAGTCCGACGGCAGTCACTGTCGTTGTTTGTCCTGACCAAACACTGACAAGATGGATGATGACGCCGTCTGTCTTATACCTCTAGGACGCTGGTGACGCTGGTGGAGTAGTACATGCTACTTGTGCACGCCACGCCCATGTTGCTAGCCGGCCACATCAGCCCGCTACTGTTGACCGTGGTGGAGACGCCGCACTACGCGAGCCGACCTGCCGCCCGGCGGCATCGACGCACCGGTGGTCAGGGGGCCCGAGCAGCCGATAGCCGACTGTTTGCTGAAGCATGGGACGGCACACGACGTGCGGCGCCGGGCGCTGATCGCCACCGACTCCGTCGTTACCCAGGTGCTGACGGCAACCAGCCTCGTCCCCCGCGCGTCGCTGATGGATTTTGCTGCCCGCATCCCGCACTGCTTCACGCGGTGGATCAGACAGGGGATGAAAACGAATTCGCCTTGCGGCCATGTACCGGTGATGATTCTTTTCCTCCGTGAAGCGACGCTTTTACTGGCATTGCCTGTCGCGTGGTCGTGCTCCTGTGATGGCCGTCGTTCGAGATGGCTGGCTGGCTGGCGGCTGAAGACGTGTGGCAGGATCAGCGCGCTACGGTGAATGGAATGCTCACAGGAGTGCGGCGTGTGTGATCACAAGAATAGCAAGAATGATAAGTGGGAAGAAAGGAGATGATGGTAGCCTTGAGAATTGCGCTTTAAAGGTGACTTATTGCGATGTCTGATGTGCCTAACTCGTATTCAAACATTGCTTCGTGTGTTCATTTCCTTATGTCGAAAATGAAATGAAATCAAGCTTCTGTGGGGTGTTGTTTGTAACATAAAACACACTGCATATATACAAATTGCTGAAAACACAAGTTAAACTTGTTTCAAATCCCAAAGTATTCGGCTTTTCACGGGCCCACGGGTACGCTCTAGTGCCGTCATATGAATCCAAACCAGCGGCAGCGAGAACGATCACTTTGCATTTGTGTAATAGTAGGATGATATCTCCGACCAAGCGGTTTTCCAGGAATGATTTTCAAAAAGTCCAATCGAGGGCACGATGGCGAATCATTTGTCCGTCGAAGTGTCCCAAAATCAGGTTGTCCCCCAAAATTTCATGCTTAAATGATACGCATGATCATTACAACCAATAACTACATATTTTTACTACTCACGTCACTGCACTCCCTCACGCCAATCCAATTTTGAAAGGAAGACGGTATGTTCGTGGTCAAGTAAGGAGAATCGCGGACTTTGGCGAAATTAATATCCGACAAGTTTCACTGTCAATAAGGATGCAATATGAAGCTGGCACAATGCACGCCTTGTAACTCGGAAGTTGCGCAAAATTCGACCCCAAAGACAACTGGAGCGTCACGTGTCGTGCATCTCGGGAGTTACGCCAAAATTCCACCCTAAAGACCATGATTTCAGAATCAGCGTGTTGAGGAGGCCCGCACACCAAATTTGGAGGCAATCGAGACTCCCCGCAATATCCAACTGGGGTGTTACGCGTCGTATAACTCGGAAGTTGTGCAAAATCCCACCCCAACGACAATGATTTTCGGAGTCAGAGTGTTGAGAAGGCCCTGCCTGTATACCAAATTCGGAGGCAACCGAAATGTCTCGCGACATCGATCTGGCTGTGTTACGCGCCTTGTAACTCGGAAGTTACGCAAAATCACACCCAAAAACAGTGATTTGCGGAATCAGCGTCTCGAGAACATCACGCAAACCAAATTTTGTGGCGATCGTAACGCACGGGAATATCCAACTGGTAGTTGGATATCAATCTGCTGCTATATGGACGGACGTCGAACACCACCATGAACATAAAAAACGGCCAGCTGAGGGTTTGACAGGGTAACAAATGGCGAAAGAAATCAGTTCCGTGGTTCAAATTGTTTCATTCATGCTCCGTGACTTGTTCGCTTTTTGGTGCATATCCAACATGTTTGGGTGGCTTGCGTTTAGTCAACGTTATGTGTAAAATATTTGCGGGTGTTCTGTCGTACAATTTTGCAGAGGAACTGGTCAACATTTTAAACAATAGATGGTATTTTTAAAGGCAATAAGAAAGGAAAGAAAATGAAGTTGCATGATACTCATATAATACCAATACAAAGGTGATTAAATAAATATGAAGGCTGATAACTTTTGGTAAAATTTTGCGATCAGCTTATTTGACTTAACATCTGCGGAAATGGGTATTGAAACGTTAATATCCAGCATGTAAATTGCATTTAGAACATTTCTAAATTTGTTTCTCCTGCATTTCGGGAGTGGTGCAGTTGAGTGGTCAAGTTTCTTCAGGTAAAGCAATACGTGGATAAAATTCCCTACCAGGCTTTGCTGGTGTTTCTACCAGGTTTTGTTATGCTGGTGTGGTGCTTGCGTAGTGTGACCAAAAAAGTGGGATGCATGAAAACGTTGCACTTGACACACAGATGCAAATGGTGATGCATTTTGTAAAAGAACTAAGCTTGATGCATGCAGGTGGTTGGAGTCGCTGGGGTTCTCAGGATTAGAGGTGCTTGGTGCCATTACTCTGTGCATGCATAGACATGATTCAGATGTAGGTGAGGCAGGATATAGTCATAGGTGTCCAGGTCCTGTGGAGCCTTGTTTATGCCTGATTTTTTAAGCGAGCTCGGTTTTGGATGACATCTTAGAACCTCGGAAAGGGAGATATGGGTTTGGTATGTGCGGTCAGACAGCATTAGGTAGGAGCGAAAAATTCACATAAAGTATGGGGTAAAGGAGCAAAAAAATCCTCCTCATAGGGTGCTGCGTTACACCCAAAGTCGGTAATCCTAGGACACTGGCCTGGCCCGACACACTCTGACACCATCTGGGGAGTAGCTGATGCTATGGGATATAACCAACCACGCTTAGACAACAACGTTGAGATATTGGTATGTTCACCGCCGGTAAAGGTACCATTCAATGTCCCAGCCGGTACCGACACCCGTCGGTGATGCCTGATTGACCTGTCCGGCGACTGACCTGACTTCTTTTCGTTGCAGCTGTCTTCTGCTCTCCATGTATTGTGGACGTGATGGCTTCAAGCAGCAATGCAATTTAAACGTTTCGATTCCTTAGCGAAAACAACTATTCCCTCGTTAAATGTTTTATTATGGCTGCCGTGTAACAAGGTACGAGCTTCCTTCTGCAGGTCGTGCCGAATGACGTGTGGAGCAACGGCTCATTATCTAAGGTACGTGTACGTAACCATGTGATCGCACAGGCTTCACCAACAGCTATTTTATAGGTTCGTTCCAGCGCGCTCTCCAAGAAAGGGGGGCATGATATGGCTGGGGCGCCGACGGAAGCTCTTTCCAATGGAAGATGTCACCGAAGTGTATTGCGTCGTTGTGCAACGTATCACGGGAGAATGTGCAAACTAATCCCTCTAATTTTCTTGAGCAAGTCGTGTAGAAGTCATTGGCCACTCAGGATTAGGGGTGGGGTGAGGGGGGGGGGCATCTAAATGGTTCCGAGGATCCCAACCATGAGCTCAGGGAAGGCGCTTTTGTAGTAGGGTCTGGGACCCAAACCCGTGGTGCCAATGGGCCGCAGGCTGTTGCTCTTCTTCCCAGTCACTGCCGCCACTCATTTATTCGACCACTTTCAGTTTGACGTGATTTGGAGATTTACGTCCATGGAGGCGACCTATGGGGCCTCGTCATCGGCGCCTCTCGTGCTGGCTGTCCGAGCAAACGCAAAACTTTTGAACACTCCGAATCGACCCTGCAGCGTCTTGGTTATAGAAAACTTTCGACTGGCCTATTCGTAAGGAAGGTTGAACTAAGGTGAACGCTGGCCAGCTCTGCCCGGAGGACTGCACTCTTCCCCATTCCTCCCCATGAAGTTATTGGTGTGTCTCTGGTGGAAGATGTAAATATTTTTTACCCTAAAATAGCTTTTGAAGGACAACAAAACATGTTGGTTCCAAACATGTTTGTTGGACAACAAAACAAATGGTTCCAAGGCTCTTCACAATGCCAGACGCTTCGTAACAAATTTCCCAAGCTTCGTGATATTTTGATGCTTAATGGAACAAACTACGCGCCGCTAATACGTGTACCTATAACCGAACACCTGTGCACATTTGCGTGAAACTTGACAATAAGTCGCAACAGTTGTAACTTAGTTGTAAGTTGTAAATAACACACGAACAGAACAACGACGGCTCCTACATAGTGTTCAACGGAATAACATGAGATGACACGCGTCCTGTCAACCAGCGGTGGGGGGCTCCGCAATAACTTGGAGACCGCAAGTGTATGTGCGGACATGGGGGCCGTTCGTGCCATGCATAGTCATAGGTCCGGTGTCAGAATGTGAAACTGTTGGACTGGTCTGTCCAAAAGTACAGCAAATGACACCCGCCGCCGCCAGCCCTATTTCGGACTCGCTTCCACTTCTGGCAAATGCAATTAACTCTTACGCCTTGATCCAGTCTCGTCACTGTTTCTCTTCCATTCGCTCTTTTTCGCGTTATTTCGCTACATACTTCGATGCCTGAAATGACTACGTCTTTCTGGCGCGCTCCCTTGCATGTACACACGCACACATTCACGCTCGTGCCAGACACTGGGAGCGGGCGGTACTTCAGTGTCGCCATCTGATAACCAATGTCAGAAATAGTGGTGCACTGAACTGCCACGCCGCGGCTTGAATTCTGTCGGCAGTATTTGACGGATCCACGTGATCGCTTCCGTCGGCCGGTTGGTCTTCCGGTTCCAGAACCAGCTCCGGATACGGATCAGTGGACCGGATCGCTGCAACGCCGATGCAGACAAACAAGACATTGAGTGCTCAGGTGAGTAGTTGACAACGGCTTCCTTTGCAGTCCGACGGGGTCTCCATGCGGCCGCGCTGACTCTTGCTCATGGGATATGGGTGCAAGTGTTTACGAATAACAAAAGGAACGTTTCAAGCATTTTGCAAGCGAATAGTTTTTAACAGAAAAAAGTTTTTTAGCCTGGTCTTGGTTATCACAGCATATCAAGTCCCTTCTCAAAATATGGATTTTTGAGTGACGCACAATGAAACAAAGCATTTAACTATCATTGGTAGTTTTATTGTGTGGCGCCATCAGCAATAAGTTGTTAAAAGCGAGGATTTTCATCGGCCTTTAGTACAAAATCATTTGAACTGCTCCTCTAAAATATGTGCTGTTATAAGTAAGCACGGGAAGCGTTGCTGCGGAGTGTCTCCACAGGTGCAGATGACCTGACTGAGTCAAGCCCGGCGCCGCGTCACCGATGCCAGCAGGAGAATCAGTCAACACTCGGCGAGGGCTGGCCCCTCGACGCTCGGCGTAGAGCTCACCCCTGCTGACGTCACGCCGCTCCCGGACGTCGTCCTTAGACGTCACCCCCGCTGCCCGCATTCGGCTCCAGATGTCCTCCAGAATGTAATTCGGGGTAGAATCTGACTGCCGAGACAGAGTCCGAATACACAATGTTGCCGAGATACACCCAGAACATCTGTATTCCAGCTACGTGAGGCACAATTGTGGGAAGTTGCGCTTGCCATATTTGGTCCGCCTACTAAGGAAGTCATAATTATTTGTCAGAAAGGAGCGAACGTGGTCTTGGCCGCGTGGACTGTCAAGTAGCGCCATCGTTACTATTTCATTTCGCGGTGGTGTTTGCCGCGAGCATACCAGGGACACCCACCTCAGCATACGGTGCGTGAGTGTGCGCCGTCTGCGGGCGCGCTGCTGGCCCATGGGAGGCGCCTTGCGGCCGGGAGGGCGGCGCGCTCTGCGGCGGCTCTGGCACCGGCTGGAAGTCGTCCGAGTCCACCGGCGACGGCCGGAACGGGTCGCGCTCGAACACGGCCTGCATCTGCGGCGTGCTCGGCAACCGCTGCGGCCCGGCCCGGGCCGGCCTGCTCTCCAGCGACAGGTGCGAACCGACCGGGCCCGCTTGCAGGACCGGGTACGGCACCGGCACGTGCGGGTGGTTCTCCGGAACGCGCAAACCGTTGCTCGGCCGGCCAGCACTGTCCAGTTCCAGCACTCGGTTGGGATTGGCGAAGTGAGGCGGAGACCGGCGTTGCGCTGGCCGGCCACCGCGCAGGCTCGGCAAGTAGCCGAGGAGACCGCTCAGGAAGCCTCCCGGACGCGGCGCCGGCGGCCGCTGCTGCCGGCGGAACGGCGGAGGCGGCCGGCGCCGCTCGCCCTGAGGCGGCGCCGTGGCGTCGGGCGCCTCCAGCGCGCTGCTGGGAGCGGCGGTGCCAGCCAGAGGCGCGGCGGCCGGTGGCACCACGGGCACTACCGACACCGGCAGCGGGATGTTCACCGCCTGCGGCCGGCCACCAGCCTCGCCAAACCATGACACGCGGAAGCCGCCTTGGGTGGCAGCGGACGGCCGGAACGCCGTCGCTGGCGGCGCCGGGCTGCGGCTGGCCGGCGGCGCACTGCTGACGTGGCCACTCTCTGCGGCAGCCACGTCCGCCACCTCAAACGCCAGCGGCGGGTTGTTGCGATCGCTGTGCTTCACCGGCTTGAAGCCCGTCTCGTACACGATGTCCTTGGGGTCGAAGCCATGGCCGGGCGGGACCGGCCGCGGCTGGCTGAACTCCGGCCGGCTGGAGGTGGTGGCAGGCTCGCCCTGCGGCCGGTCCAACACCACGGGCGGAACGCGCGGCTGGGCCGACGGCGACTCCCGGACGCCGTGGTCAAGCGCCGGCTGTCGGCGGCCCGCTTCAGGACTGGGCACACTGAAAAAGGGATACGGGGGACGCGAGACCGCCGAGGATGACGCGATGTTGGGTGGCTTGGCGGCTGGAGCCGGCGAGCGCGAAGACGAAATCGGGCGTGTGGGTCTGGGAGGCGGGCGTGTGGATCTGGGCTGCGGACGTGTAAACCTAGAGGGTGGACGTGTGGATCTGAGCGACGGACGTCTGGACGTGGGTGGCGGACGGGTGGTCCTGGAGGACGGGGCTTGATGAGTATTGGTAGCTGGGCGGCCGTGGAGTGGTGGCTGGAATGTCTCTAGAGAAGGACGTTGACTGTTGCCAGATGAATTTGGTGGAAGGGGACCTGGGGATAGCGCCGGACGCTGCCTGGGCGGTGGTGGCTTACTGTGCGCCTGCAGTGGAGGCCTGTTGATCCTGTTCAGAGTTCTGCGAGGCGGAACTGAAGCTGTTTCTTGCTCCGCGATTGGCGGCTCCCGAAACACGGATTGGTTCTTACTGTTTTCACTCAGCTGCAGCTTTTTCCTGTCGGACTGAATTGCGCCCTTCTGGTAGGCGTCGAAAGAGTCAGCCTCGACTTCAGGAACGAACGATTCGTCGGAGGACAACGTGGTCCCTGGGGTGGTAGTGGCAGACAACACTGCAGGCTTCCTGGTCCTGATGCGCTCCCCGAAGTTGAAGGGCGGACGCGGAAGGGGCAGTTCGGGCCGCGGGAAGCCAGGCGGGAAATCACCAAAGTCGAAGACAGAGCTCTGCCCAGGTTGTGATGAGGGCGGCCCTGCCGGCGGCGGTAGCGGCCGGCGCGCCACCTCCAGGTCAACGTGGAAGTCAGCGTAGTTCGGGCCGGGGCCGCCGGCGGGCCGACCGGTGTCGGCGGCCGGCTGGGGCGGTAGGCTGTTGGTCAACGTCTGTTCCAGCCGAACACTGGACTGCGCCAGGCCGTCTTCGTAGTAGTCGTAATCGTCGTAGACGTCTGTAACAGCGGCACAGAACATAGATATGAGAGAGTCTCGTTGGCGATGACGCGGCACAGAAGACAATTGCAATGCCCTTTTGTTACAAGAACAATACACTGGTCTTGCGGCTGCACAATGGACGTATGGACAGTTTGAAAGCAGACAAGGTTCGCAAACGCGTGGACGAGAAGGATATGAATGGATTGCATGGCATGTTTGTGCATAAAGCCCAAGCGCATTTTCAAGGTGTGATTGTAAAGATTGAGCAATTTCCTGTGGGCAAAATGCCGCCCTTGTGTGCACGATTCTTTTGTGAGTTGATCACGGATTTCGTAAAGCCTTGAAACTGCAGCGTCTGGACAGGGCGCGAATACCTATTGCCGATACCTGGGATAAGAATACACCCTGTACCCCTCAGCTTTGTCCTATCGAGAACCTATGAGGCTGTCAAGCAAGAGGTGAATAAAGGAGGATGACAGACCAAGATGGACCCTCGGGTGAAGCTCGGAATCCAGTGCGTGACCCGCCAGACTAGCCCAGATGTGTCGCATAGGTTGAAACCGGGGGTCTGCGCACACGTGCGCCCAGCGGCCAGCAAAAGTGTGGAGGGTAATCTACCTCTGGTCAGCAGCTCTCTCATTATCTTGAAGGGAATGTTCCACATTTGAAGATATTAAGGTAGGCCTCAGATATGATGGGAAAAGCTCACTTGTAACTATTTGTAAACTTTCAAGGTTTAAACCTAACCTAAAGGCACTAAGTAGCAAAATTTCAAATTTCGTTAAAATATGTCCCATTACGTCATTGTTTGTTGGCGTTATGGAATGTTCTTGTGAAGACAGCAATACCTGGCAGCATCTGGCAGCCAGACCTAACAAATGCTTGGAATCCCACGAAAGCTGGCGCTGACCGGTCATTCTCGCCGCGGGTGCTGTGTTGGGCGGCGGATTAGTGGGGGGTTTGTTTGTGGATTTTTTTGTCTTGGTGCTGACCGTAACAAAAACTTTCGTGAACTGTTTGGCATACGCAACGTAGCGATCGCCAGCTTTTATGACAGCTTATTAATATCAAAGCACGATGTGCTGTACTGTTGATGTTACTGCTCTGCTGTTGACTGTGATTTTGTCTATACTGTGTTGTCCATCCATCCTTGCTCGCAGTGCTGCAATCCTGGCATTGATGTTATGTGATGTGCACCGTAGTTACTTGCTTTATCGTTAGTAATTGTAAATGCGGTGGCATGCAAAAAAATCAATAAATTTGTAACGCTGCTATGAATTGATTGCCTTGATTGAGTCCTCATGAATTGTTGCTATGATGTGATGGCATCACACTGAGATCAATACATGCCACAGGCACGCACCACCAGTGATCACACACATTTCAAACCCCCGATTCACACCCTTTTGTCAAAAATGCGTGATCTCACACTTGCACAGCTCGCGGGACTATAAAATTGCAGGTTTTCTCGCAATTCCCGCACAGATTTTCGGTAATAACACCGCATTTCACCGTGACCTCCCTTCAAAATAAATTCCTAACGGGGGTTAAGGGTAATGCGACTCCAGAGCTTGTTCTTGTCTAGCACAAATTTTTTGGTTCAAGATTTTGATTTGTCGTACAATGCGTGTGAAATGTTGAGTGAAATTTAGATGCAACATTACTGTAATGTTTTCCTAATTTTAGAATGCCTTGCTAACCCATAAACCCGTGCAAGGTTCTGTGCTTTGGTATGCAAGGTGCCAACTGAGCTGTCTATAAGAAAGACGTCAGTAGAAGAAGAAAAACGTCAGCAGGCGAAAAAGACAGCTTGCCGCCGTACTTTCTTTTTAAAAACTTTTGGGAGAGTGCCCATTTTTTGGGTGCCGTATTCTTTTTGCGAACAGTGACGTTCTTCCTTATAACTTTGACCTATGGCTAGAAATATGGAAAAATGTCCCGTTCACGACGAGTGCCGCACAACCAGAAAGTGTTTTCGCTGAAGTTCGCGACACGCATGCAGCAGTGAAATCACGCTGACAGCTTATCATCTTCCGCGCATTGTATCATGCGTGCCGCAGCATCGCTTTGCGAATGTATCAGCGGCCATGCTGTTTTGGCCACAACCAGAAACAGCCTCTAGCATGACCACGATCGCATGACGTTTCTATGAAGTCATTATTACCAAGGCGACTTCGAAATGGGCTTTCAATAACAATTTTCGCATTTTTGCGGGTGTATAACTCAGGAACCAGAGCGTTTTGGGCCTTGAATAGGACATGGCCGTGAACTGCATCAATAGGTCCTCAAGATAGCTATTTCAGTTCAAATCGCCATACAAATGTGGACCATTTCCGTTAAGGTATGATAGCGACAGTGTGCCGACGGCGCCATATTTTTGCACGATGTTTGTAGATAGGAATAAGTTAACTACGAGATTGGGAAATGATCACATTGTCATCATCATCAGTATCACCATTATTATTATTACTATTATGATTATTGCTATTACTGTTTGTGTTGCCTTTTTTGTTGTTATCATTGTTATTATTTTTGGTATCAGTATTATTATCACTATTTTCAGTATTAACATTATTGTTGCCATTATTATATTCCCCGTAACTCTAGTGGGTTCGGCTTTAGGCCAAAAGGCAGGCACAGCTTTGTAAATCGACAAATGAAATTTTGACAAACTGATTTGCGTATCCCAGCGTCCTATATCTCAACCGTCCCTCCCCAGGATTGCGACAAAATCATCGATTCGCAGATTCACTAAGTGTGTGATATTTGTAACAAAACGGAGTTGTCTGAAACTGATGTCCAAGACTGTCTGAGACTGACTGGGTTGTCTGTCTGTGTTTATACTGTGTTTCCGTTAAGTTCACAAAACCCCAATGACTGAAAGAATGGTGCATTGTGACGTTGTCGGTGGGATGTCACAAACATGATAAATTTGCGTTTGCAGCAATACTTGATTATTTGAACCTCAAACCACACCTTTCATGATCCGGTCGACTTCATTGAGCTCGGATGCCGCGATGCCCTCATCAAATGGACAGGAGTCGAGGACATTGATCTTCCAGCCGAGAAAGCGATGCGTGAAACACTGCAACACAAAATTTCAACATATTACTGGTCAACAACATGCAAAGATGCGCTATAACGATGCGAGGACAAGTCGCCGCAAATGAGACCGAACACGCTTTCATGAAATATAGAACATGCCCGCCATGAAGCTCAGCTGTGCAATACTGTTCACTCATTTTGAACACTGTTATGCGAGAAGTCGTCCTCGCCCCGCCCCGCTCCCTGCGCGCTCTCCGGGCCTGCAGGCGTATCGACCAGGTCACCTGGTAGTAGACGGTGTCGGGAGTGTGACGGTCGGGCGTCCACTGCAGGATGCCCGGCTGGCCCTCCTCGCAGTCCAGCTGGAGTGTGCGCTGGAAGGCGCCGAACGAGCCCAGAGTGCCGGCTGACTGGCCTTCAGCACTCTGCAGCCACTCACAGAGCCGACCGCCGGCCGTCGGTCGCGGCCCGCCCTCCCTGTCCACCTCCACTCCGGCGAACACGCGCACACGCTGGCAACAGGCAGCACGTGGTCAGGCACAACACGCTCGGGTAGGGTGAACAACAGTGTGAGCAGCGAGGGGACGGTCAGAAGTCATATTCAAGAGGCTGCCCCCGTGGGATGCCGGCAGTTCTCACTGTTCCGGATCAGGGCGTTCTCACTAGCGGCTCCGGGGCACGTGCCTCGTCTTCTTTATCAAATGCGCGTGCACTTTGCTTATGAACACATGTATTATGTGGTTCGGAGGTGGAACAGGAGGCCAAGGATGGCACCCTCACACACGGCTGACAGGGAAAAAAACGGATATGGAACAAGCGAATGCCCTTTGTCAGCATCCCTGGCGTGGTGCTGATAAGGGGCGACGGACAGCGATATCCTCGCGCAAGGGCATGAGAGTTAGTGATGAGCTGACTGACAGTTAGGGCTCAGATGGTCAGGGCTAGCACACTTACTGCCGAAATGGTGCCAACTGTATGGAATGACACATTCCTACGTCGCCGATTGTGGACAAACGGCCAGTAATGACACTCACACATATGTTTTGAAGAGGCCAGGTGGTGAGGGCAGACGTACTGTTGAAACACTGGTGACAACTAATGCTTGCGAGTAACTCATGTTGCCAGTGAAGACAAGCGAGGCGAAGAGGATGGTGAGGTAAAAACAGATAAACGTGGTTAGTTTAGGCGTATAAAACATAGGAGCGTGGACTTAAAATTTGTGTTTCGAATTGACTTTTTGCTCCGCTTCGGAATGCCAAGAGCGCTCAAGGGATGTTTATTTATTTACGGGATGCTTACCCGCACCGTTAAGTCCGACTAGAACATAGCGAACGTCATTGCCAAACCACGAGTCCCCAGGAAACCCCCGAAAACGTACCGGCAATGAAATGCCCGTCAGTGGATCACCTTCGCCCAAGTCTGACTCAGTTGGGGCGCCGTGGCTCACTCACCGCGCGCTCCTCGTCCGTCTTGAACTGGTAGCCGCCGTCGGGGTCGTCGGTGATGTAGAGCGGGTGGTACTTGGCCGGCCGCTCTGGGTCCCGGCCGCCCTCCACCACGAACGTGTACGTCTGTCCGCGCACAACGCTGATCTCGGGGATAAGCAGGCCGTTAACGTACCATGCGACGCCCCAGCCGGCTCGGCCGGTGATGGCGTCGTATCCGCGCGCACCGCCCGTCGGCCCAATCTGCGCATACAGCACCCGGTCCTCGGGCTCGTTGCAGGCAATCGGCGGGATCTGCCAGGCGGTGGAGGGGCGCGGCGCCGGCGGCGCCGGTCGGCCGGGCGCGCCGCCGGCGCCCGTGGTCACCGGACAGTTCCAGGCGGGCCTGCGGCCGAAGTGGAGCAGCAAATCTCCGCGCACGCGCCGCCGGTGGTAGCCGATGTCGCCGGCGCCACTGACCGGTCCCACCGCCCAGATGACAGCCTGCGGCTGCTGCGTGCTGATGCTGCGGTCCAGCCGGTCTGCCGCCTTCAGCGGCCGCTGCAGCGTCAGCATCGAGAAGCCGTTGATGAAGGCGGAGTTAAGCAGGCGGACATCGTTCTTACCGCCCTGAAATGGAATCGACACTACGTTTGGGCGGATCTGTCGCTATGAATATTGAGAAAATGGAGTGTATCTCTTAACTTAAAGAAAATATTGGAATAAGTCTTATTTGGTTTGCTAAAGAAAATACTGAAGTAAGTCTTATTTTGGTTTGCTTCAAGCGTGCCGAAACATACAAGCGATGCCTGAGCGCAAACATAGAGACTGGGTTGAATAGATGTCCTCCAGTGACCATGGGCTTAGCATGGATGCCTTTTGTCGTTGCTCGAAAATCGGATGGCATTGCATTGTGAAACTAACTGCATCGGGTGCAGCTCATTCCATCAATGGAGTCGCCGGTTACAGCCCATTCCCCCAATGGAGTCACCCTGAGCTGGTCGTCCGGGCAGGTGCCCTGGCCGCCCGAGCACTGGGCCTTGTCTTGCAGGAAGTAGTCGTGAGCGAACCCCTGGCCAGTATCGCGGTCCAGCCACGTGACGACGGCATCGGCTCCGGTCATTACGCTCCGCGTGTCCACCCCACTGACACCGAACGCCATGTACTGGCGGGCATCTGTCAAACGAGAATACAGCGAGATGTGACGTCACATGACAAAGGACCGAAGAACAGATCACCATGTAATGGCCGTCCTCTGTCACCCGGGAGCACAGCGTGATGTTACGCCACGTTATGAGTGACAGTATTGGCCTCCACGTCCAAAAATAGCTGGAACCAAAAGCGAACTTTTAGATTGCACCGAATGTTGCCATAAGAACGCCATAACTTCGAACGTAGGTGCCACTTTTGGGTCTGACCTGTTACCTTCGGGTTTATGATCTGGGGGAATCAAAGCACAGCGACAGGTCGATGTATTTTGATGATGTGCAAAGTTACGTTGTACGCACGTACTGTCAGATTTTTAGCTCCGCACGAAAGTACTTCCTAGCAGCATGTAATTACACAACTTGAGGCAAATGGCAACATCACTTGATATCACCTCTAAACATAAACGCATTGACCAAGGCCAATACGGGCTGCAATACATGGTTTGAGTGCCTATTGTTGCATAGACCAGCAGGGGTGTAGTTTCGTTTTCAGTAGGTCTTCCATTTCGCACAGCAGCAGTGCAGTAGCTGCGGCCGAGTCCATAGCCTGCCGGTGGTGTTACACGTGTGGTGGTGCTACTCTGACGCTCGGCGACCGGCCCAGTGGCGCGACGGCTTCTGCTGCTCTGACGCTCGATGGCTACTGCAGCTCTGACGCTCGGCGACCCGCCCAGCGGCGCCACGGCTTCTACTGCTCTGACGCTCGGTGGCTACTGCAGCTCTGACACTCGGCGGCCGCCCAGCAGCATCGCGGCTACTTACCTATCTTGCTGACGAGCTGCATGACGATGGACTCTCCTGCCACCGCCCAGCGCACCTCGAACGACAGCTCGTCATCGAGCACCTCACAGTTGAGCTTCGTCTGCGAACGGTGGCCAACGCTCGGTCAGGTCCTGTCCAGTCGAAACAAAATAGGGGGCGCCTGTCAACGTACGTCACAAATTATTTTCTACTTTTTCCCCGATTCTTCCCATCAGCACTTCTTTGTCATTATGCTTCCTCAGTTTACATGCTTTCGAAACGTCTGCTGGGTGCCCTCCTAATTAAAGGGAGTGTTTCGCATTTCTGTAGGATCTTTAACTAAAATGACCATCTCGGAGATCAATAGGTGCAGTTGACAGCTCTGTTGTTTTTAAGACCTAAATGCCTCCAGTTTCTGAGCTACACACCCGCGAAGATGGCGAGAGTTTTTCGGAGGAGAGTATTTTAAGGTTACCTTAGCATTCATGACGTCATAATCACGTCATTCAAATCCTGTCATTCCATAAGTCATGCGGTGATCAAGGTCAAGAAATATATTATCGTTCGTTCAGTTATTCATAACTGGCGTTCGTGAGCGCTATTCCCAGATCATCAAATCAGATGCTTGCTTCAATGTTTATAAATGCGAAGTTTATAAAAATGTTTATAAATGTTTATAAATGCCCTTTAACCCGCGTCCGGCCAAGAGTCAAACAACCGCGTCCGGCCGGGAGTCAAACAACCGCGTCCGGCCGGGAGTCAAACAACCGCGTCCGGTCGGGAGTCAAACAACCGCGTCCGGCCGGAAGTCAAACACCCGCGTCCGGCCGGGAGTCAAACAACTGCGTCCGGCCGGGGAGAAGTTAACTTCGCTGTGATCTTCGACTCCTAGACGTGATATGCGGAAAAAAACAAGGTACCGCTGTGAAAGTTTCGTCCAATCATGAAGAGTACACATCTAGTTTTTGACCTTGGCCAAATTTGTGGTCAGCTTAGGTTAAATTCGTAAACCATTCCAATGATCAAAATTGGAAGTGCTAACCGGTTCTAAGTGACCAGTGCACTGCTTTTCTGCGGCCATAAGTAGTATGTTGTACATCTACAGGTATTCAGGATTGCATAGCTCTTGCAAACACGTTGCCTAGTCCACTTGGCAATTTATTTGTAACAAACTGAGGATAAACATGTTGGTACGTAAAACTATACGCCATCACCTTCACAAACACCATGTAGAGGTGACTGGTGGTGCTGATACAAGATACAGAGGTGTTGATTCTCATGCACCCTAATGTAACCTAATTATGCATTAGAATGACATCACAAATTGTTTTCAGTGGGATGTTGAAATTCTGCGACCAAATTTTTTTACTAACACTGCCTATTTTGAGCTCCCATGTGTTTTGCAGAAGACACCCATAGAGGTAGGTCATGACCTAAACCAACATCATGTATTCTGCGGTCCTGTGATGGTTACACATGTGAGTTAGTATTCCTATATATTGCACACGTGAGTTAAGGTTCCTATACATATTCCTCCTATACAAACACCAAAACTACACAAAAATGCGTATAATTTTGCATTATCTACCAAAAATAGCAAAAATTTACCTCTCCTGTTTCGACAAATCTGAAATACAGAATTGTAAGTAGTATCATGTAAGTTGAAACCCAACTTGCTATTACTATAGCAAATTAGGACAATGACAAGTAAAACTCAAAATGTTATGCGTGGTTTAAATCTTTCAGAAGCAGACCTCTTTGACCTCACCTAGGTCACTGGATTTTGAAGATCAAAACTTTAACTTTGCCTAAAGCATGCCAAATTGATAAAATCACAGGTTCTTAACATTTTTTTGCTCCCTGTGTTCACTTTTGAGCTGTGTTTAAAAAAATCGCAGGAGAAAGTCAGCCTCCCCCGGGCTGGGTTCACCTTGCACATGTACGCCGGGCTCAAAAGTCAGCCTTCCCCGGGCTGGGTTCACCTTGCACATGTACGCCGGGCTCAAACATGCACTGCAATTTTGCAGTTATGCGACGCGTTGGCTATGTTCTCAAGATAGCCCTAGCTGCTGCGAATGCTGCTCTGAGGCTAAGGCACCAAGGCACGGCAAGGGCAATTATGCAAGACCATGAATGAATACCCCTGTGCCATCAAAGTGTACGGGCAGGTTAATAGAAGGAGCCCCAATAGAAGTAACGAGTCCTCTGCAAATGAGATCAAAGGGGAAGAGCTTCGATCAAAGGAGGGGAGCCCTAAGCATCGAGTGTCCCGGTACCTTACCTTATATGAGCCCCAGCAACAGCACAAGGCCCCCCGAGCAAGTGGAAAAATCCGAGACAGGTATGCAGGGCTGTTGAGCAGCTGAGTGTTATATGCCATATGGGGCTTCGGAAAAACTGTATAGAGCCTTTCGGGCGAATGAGAAGAATTGGTGGAGGGCTTCTGATTGATCAAGGGTGGCCGGGCATGGAAACAGAGAGTGTCCCTATAGCAGCGTTGAGATCATCTACTGCAAAATGGAAAAATATTAAGAGGTCAAGGATAACGTGGCAGGCTCTTTGGCGATCAAATTGACCAGACAAGTGGCCATATATGGTCCGGGCAACAGCGCAAGGCCTCTGGAAAGCGGAATAAGTCCCAAAATTTCCCTCCAGCACCACCCTTTCAATCAGCAAATGTTTAAATTTGCTTGCTTATGAACTCCTTACTTTCGTTTGCAAACGTTCTCTGTCGCCTGTAGGCTCAAACACGCCTAATGATGTTGTGTATCTTTATTAGAAAACTATATCCCTTCAGCCAATTTTCGACCACTTCGAAGCCTATGGGTCCCCTCGTCATGGTCCATGGGGCATGGTCCGATGCCCCCCTCCCCCCCCCCCCCTGTATCTGCCACCTGCCCGAGATTGGCCCGCTTAGAACACAGTCATCCATTCAAATAAGAAACACTCGAGACAACATGGATGGCCCGGGAGTGATCAAGTGCGCTAGAGCAGGTTAACAATTAGGGCTCTCGTCAAGAGCGTGGGGCCTTCCGTTCAAAATCAGATACCCACGACACGATACAGAGGGCTTCAGAATGATCGAGTGCGTCAGAGCAGGTTAACATATAAGGCCTCGTCAAGAGCGTAGGGCCCTCCATTCAAATAGGAAGCACCCAATTTAAATTGCTCCCGAACGATTGAATATGCTCGAACAGCTTATCAGAAGGGGCCCGATAAGAGTGTAGGGCCATTCACTAAATATGACGTGCTCAAAACCCAGTGCGGAGGACCCCTGAAAGATGGGGTGCACCCGAACAGATTGTCAGATGGCTCCGAGAGAAGCGTAGGGCCCTTAAGTCAACAACCAAGAGCTAATGCAAAGGGCCCCCGAAAACCCAGTGTAGCCGAGGAGATGAACAGAGGGGGATGGGGGGGGGGGGGGGCGACAAGCTCGTAGGGTCCTCCATACAAATAGAAAGCACCCAAACACAATATGGGGTGTTCCCAGACCATCGAGTGTGCTCGAGCAGGTAAACAAATGGGACCCTCGACAAGAGTGTAGGGCCTTCCGTTCAAATATGAAATACCCACGACACGATATTGAGGGCCAAGAACGACTGAGTGTGCCAGAGCAGGTTAACAGACAGGGCTCCCGTCAAGAGCGTAGGGGCCCCCATTCAAATAGGAGGCACCCAAGACCCGATGTAGAGGCTTCTCAACGGTCCAATTTGTCCGAACAGGCTCTCAGATAGGCCCCCAACAAAACCGTAGGGGCCCCATTCAAATAAGAGGCATCCAAGACCCAGTGTGGAAGGCCTGCGAAAAATCGAGTGTACCCGAGCAGGCCATCAGATGGCCCCTGACTGGAGCGTAGGGCCATACATTAGAATATCCAATGTACAGGACCCCCAAACAATCCAGGGCCTTTGAGCAGGTTAACAGATGGGGCCCCGACAAGTGTGTAGGGCCCTCCATTCAAATAGAACAATCCAAGACCCAATGCGGTGTGCCCAGAACGGCCGATGTATCCAGGGAGATTAACAGGTGGGCGCCCGACAAGGAGATAAACAGGTGGGCGCCCGACAAGGAGATTAACAGGTGGGCGCCCGACAAGGAGATTAACAGGTGGGCGCCCGACAAGGAGATTAACAGGTGGGCGCCCGACAGGGAGATTAACAGGTGGGCGCCCGACAAGGAGATTAACAGGTGGGCGCCCGACAGGGAGATTAGCAGGTGGGCGCCCGACAAGAGTGTAGGGCCCTGAGCAAGTCACAGAGTATTGGAAGCGCCCTAGACCAATGTAGAGGGCTCAAGAGCATATCGCGAGTGTGTCGGTGGGTTAACAGAGAACGGCATACGGATAGGGCGCCTAAGCAACCGAGAATAAGCCGGCAGGTTAACATATGGGGCCCCAGCTTTAGCGTACAGAGCCTTTCCGGCGAACGAAAAGAATCTATGCAATGTCCCTAATTGACCAGAGCTTCCCGGCACAGAGCCCCCCCCCCCCCCCCCCCTCCTCCACGCCGAGCAAATGCTAAAAGTCGAGGCAAACTGGAAGGCTGCTTAACGATCAGAATGACCCTGCAAGTGGGCATATAGGGCCCCTGGACAGCGTTCTGAGACGACGCTTCCGCTTGCGCCTGTGCTTGGTCGCCTGCAAGTCCAAAGACGCCCAATTTTGTTGCGTTTTATGTTTACAACAACCGCGCCTGTTCGGCCGGCTGTGGCCTCTTCGGGGCCCAAGGGGGCATGGCCCCACTCCCTCTGGATCCACCCCCCGTTTCAGTTATGTTAATGTACCGTCTAATACTGCCTTTGGACTCGCATTTTACGTGCGATAAAGTCATCAAAACAGCTTAGTTTTGATTCAAACTCGCGGCAGCTGGGTTCCCGTCCCAGCAACTGCGTTCATGCGGGTCGTCTACTGCAGTCATCTAGCGACTGACAGATCGGGAGAGTCTGGCAGGCCGTCCGTGCCATACCGAAACGTGACAAGCTAAATTATGGGCTAAAATTGCTCGTCGGATTATAATTTTCCTCCTGGGGTTGTGGGGTCGAGAGCTTTGCAAAAACCTATATTTTGGAGGATCCATATCTCAAAGCCACTCAGTCAAAATGTTGAGAACATTCTTGAAGGGA